GCTTTTGTAGATGTAGGGTTAGGTTGTTTACTTGAGATTTTTCCATCTTCTTTAGGTAGGCCTTTATTGCTATGAACTTCCCTCTTAGTATTGCCTTCACTGTGTCCTAAAGGTTTGGGGTTGTTGTGTGTTCATTTTCATTTGCTTCCAGATACTTTTTCATTTCCTCCTTGATCTCATTGTTGACCCATTCCTTATTTAATAACATGTTATTCAGTCTCCCTGTATTTGAATGTTTTGAGTATTTTTTCCTCAAGGTTGGTTTCTAGTTTCAATCCATTATGATCTGGGCACGTTTGACATGATTTCAATTTTCTTGAATCTGCTGAGGTTTCTTTTATATCCCACCATGTGGTCTGTCTTTGAAAATGTCCATGTGCATTTGAAAAGAATATATATATTGCTTCTAGGTATGAAAGGTTCTGTATATATCAATTAAGTCCATTAGATGCAGAGCGTCATTCAGTGCCACGTATCCTCACTCATTCTTTGGAAGATCTATCCATTGTTGACAGTGGGTGTTAAAATCCCCTATGACAACTGTATTGTTATCACTACCTTTCTTGAAGTCCTCCAATATTTTCTTTATATATTTAGGAGCTCCCATGTTGGGTGCATAAATGTTTACAAAGGGTTATATTCTCCTTTGGACTATTCCCTTAAGCATTATGTAGTGACCTTCTTTATCCCTTTTTATGGCTTTTGTTATGACATCTATTCTGTTTGATATAAGTATTGCTACCCCAGCTTTCTTTTTGTGTTCGTTTTCTCAGAATATTTTTTTCTCTATCCCTTCACTTTCAGACTGTATAGATCTTTTGTTCTGAAGTGGTCTCTTGTAGACAGCATATATGCAGATTGTGTTTTCTTATCAATTCAACTACCCTATGTCTTTTGATTAGAGTACTGAGTCCATTTACACTTGAGGTTATTATTGACAGGTACTTCTTTGTTGTCATTTTTCCACACCTGTGTTTCTCTCTCTTTCTCTCTTTCTTGTACACACGCAAGCTCTCTCTCCTCCTTTTTACAGAAGTCCCTTTAGTATCTCTTGCAGTGCTGGCCTAGTGGAAATGTACTCTTCTAGCATTCTTTTGTCTAGGAAGCTCTTTATTTCACCTTCCATTTTAAGTGAGAGCCTTGCTGGATAGAGCAGTCTTAGTTGTAGGCCCTTCTTTTCATTACCTGGATATAATTTCATACTAACCCCTATTGGCTTATCCTGTTTCTGTTGAGAAAACAGGTGATAGAAAAAATAAAATTCCAAACTCAAATAATCAAAAGCAGGAGAAAGGCAAAATGGAGTAAGACAGAGGAAAAGTACCCTATGAGATGGGAGATACAAAAAATATAGTGAACAAACAGGAATACAGTTGAAGAAGAACAGCAATAGCCATTAATATCCATGCTAAACAAACCACAATTTATAAAAGTGGAAACAAAATAAGGAAATTATAACTAAAGGGGACAAGAATGTAAGCTGACTAAAGGAAGGAAGAATGATACTGAAAAGATAAACAGGAGAAATAGTAAGAGTAAGGAATAGAAATGAGGCGTAGCATGGGGGGAGATAAAATTTACAATGAAAACAAGAAAGTGCAGGAAGAAGGCAAAGTGGACTAAGACAAGGGAAGGGTACAATGTGAGATTTGAAATAAAAATAAAATAAAAAACAGTGTAAAATCTAAATAATAAAAAACAAAGAATAGCTGAATTACAATTGAAGCAGAAGAATAAATATTAAAAGGTTATACAAAAGAAAGGAAAAATAAGACAAATTCTGGAGAACAACAAGGTAGAATTCATTTCAGCAGAGTTTGGAGTTTACCTTCTGTCTTCTCTTTCTGGATCTGCCTCTGGCTTTTTATCAGCTCAAGGTCCCAAGGTAGCACCACCCTGGGTAACCCAAGGTAATTCTGGCAGCACCACCTTTATCCGCTTCACCGGCCTCTAAAGGGAGCTTCTGTTGTGACTGGGAGGGTGGGATCCCTGGAATTCCCATGGGAGGCACTATTCACTCTTCTGGGAAAATTGTGGGTGTGTTTCCCCTGCCCCACCCATCTTGGTCTGCCCCAGCTTATTTTCAATAATGTATAGTTCCTGATGAACTAACTGTCCATTTCAAGGCAGGGGCCAATCTGTGTAAGAGGATCAGCTCTTTCCTGCTTGGTACTGATAGCAGCTCTGTGTGCACGCTGAGGCTGGGCAAGGCCCTTACTCCCCCTTGCTGCACCAATTTCTGATCTCTCTGCTTTGCTGGCCTCAGTAGAACAGAGCCTTAGGAACAAGTATGTTTTGTCTCCCTGCAAGTTCAAAATGGGCCTGTTAGGCATTTTTCTTTCTGTCTTTCTCTTGCAAATATGCTCCCTGCGGAGGGTTCCTGAGCCTGTCCTGCCTGTTCTGCAAGAGGTGGGGGTTGGAGATGCACCCTTCCTTCCCAGAGGATAGATCTCCACTGAAGAAGGGGGCCTGTCTGGCTGTAAATAATCTCAGGTGCTCCACTCCTACCCACCCAGTTCTCAGCCCACTGTGCTTGCAGCAGATACAGTCCCAAACTCTCCACTCTGCACAACCTCCAGCATGCTTGCCACACCAGGCTGAGGCCACAATCTCTCTGCCCACCTACAGTCAGTGGGATTATACCATGTCCTCAATACTTTCTTTCCACTTGCTAGCAGTACAGCTGCACAGGAGGTCTCTGCCCAGCACACCTCCATTCCCCTTTTGAAAAGTCTCTCTAGGCACTCACAACCGCAGTCCTGAGTCACTATCAGGCTGTATGTACACACCACCTCTCCAAAAAGCCAAAAGTCTCTCAGTCATGGCTGGTCACATCCTGCCTCCTCCACCTGACCCAGGGGCAGACAGAATTCCTCTTTCACTGGCACTCTCCCAGTTGGTATTTGCCACTGCAGCTATGGATGTGCTGCTCGCTGTTATGTGTATACAGTCTGCATCTCCCAGACTTTGTGTATCCAAGTCACTCCTAGCCCAGGTCTGGGGAGTTCTCGGCCCTGGGAGGAAAAGGAGCTGCAAAGCTGTAATTTCTCACTAGGCTATCCATGCTGCAGGTGGTATGCATGGGGTATTTCCCCTTCACCCTATAAAATCTCCTTACCCTCCACTGTGAGGCATCTTCTGCATTCCTTGGCTTCCAAACTTCATGTTAGCTAAAATTCTGTTGAATGTTCAGTTTATTTTTCGAAAGGTCAGCCAAGTATCCATGTTGGGGACAAGAGCAAGTGGACTCGGCTTCCACATATTTGGCCACCATTTTCTCAGTCTCCCACATTTCTATTCATGTGTGCCACCCCCATTCCCAACACCACGTGATGTCTAGATTCTAGATAACTGGCATAGAACACAGAAAAAGGAAGAATCCCAAAGAAACAAAAGTTGGTAATACCATTCAAACAATGTCCAATCCCTGCATTCTGAGCCTCCTTGTTGTGAGTCATACAACTAACTCCTCTTGTCCTGATTTCATGTTCATGAGGGAAGCTTGTCATTTTAACTTAGCTTTCTATGTATATGAGCCTATAGAAAAATAACATTATTTAAACTGATTTAGGCATTCTGAACCTATAACAGTAAAATACTTCATTGTAAAATTAGAAAATAGAGACCTGGCTGGTGTGACTCAGTGGCTTGTGCGCCCGCCCGCGAACCAAAAGGTTGCTAGTCAGATTCCCAGTCGGGGTACATGCCTGGGTTGCAGGCTGGGTCCCCAGTAGGAAATGTGTGAGAAACAACCACACACTGACGTTTCTCTCCCTCTCTTTCTCCCTCCCTTCCCCTCTCTCTCTAAAAGTAAATAGATAAAATCTTTTTAAAAATAAAAAATTAGAAATGAACTCTTCCTAAATATTTCTGAAAACTTGAGGGACTGCGTGAATTGACTGAATTTACCTCTGTCACCATTAACAATGGTGATCATAATGAGATAAACAAACCAGATTTTCTGACATAGAGCCAAGAAGCAGACTTTAAAACCAAGATCACCTCCTCTAGGTAAATGCCAGGCCAAATCCACATGTCAGCCAGCCAGTCTTTGTGGCACCACAACCCTACTGTACACCTTATTTCCTAGATAAAATAAACACTTGTTGTAATGAAATTTGGTCTACACTCACAAATATGCTCAAAATTAAGTAGTACAATTTCAAGCTTATCACAAAAGATTTTCTATTTCTTCCACTTGCCTCTTCCTCTAATCATCCTTTATATATTAATCTCACATTACCTTACTGCAGTGGTTATATTGTCAGGGACAAGATTGAGAATGTCGGGCAGACTGGAGAAACAAAGCCATACTTTAACCTTTTGGAAACCTGACTAGAATACCAGATAGAAAAGATGTGCCAAAAAATATATGTTATAAAAATTTCCAGATCCCAACTCTTCCAAAAAAAGGAGATGCTTTAGAGCTGTCATACCAGGCACATTTAGGACTTCAGGACAGTCCCATGAGAGTGTGCTTTCCTTGCTGTCCTCCACCTACATCACGCATTTCTGAATCCCTAAAGGTCAAGCGGTAGCAACCTTTATAATATTTAAAATATCAATAGAAGAATAGAGATTTCAGAAGCTACCTGGAAATTGTTTCAAAGAATCCTAAATTAAAAGGGCACTTTTGTTCAAATGTATGAATCAGAAAGAGAAATCTTGATTTCTAATTTTTACCTAATTAAAAATGGCAATATGCCAGCTTCCTTCAATTAAAAATAGCACCAAAATTCAAAAATTCAATTCTGTAATGCTGCCAAAGTAAAGAGATTGCGTTTTCTTGGCATAGGAAGACACCAACATCCTACACCTTATCATATACTTGAGAAGCCTGATGACACTAGGAGATAAGTAACAAAAGATTAGTTTTGCCTGTCGCTTTCCCAATAAACACTCAAGTTATAAATAATATGAAAATGTAAAAAGTAACTAAAATATAGGTTAATCATTAAAGAAATTAAAAGGAATTAAGGAAAAATAAGACATGAACTTACCAGTTTAATCGCCACATATTCATTTGTATATAAATTTTTCCCTTAAAAAAAAGAAAGAAATGTTAGATTTTACCAGTAACTAATTTTTAAAGATATATTATAGCAAACTGCACTCTATGTGAAAAAAGAAAAGAACACATATAATGCACTTAGAGAAAGCGTAGGTTGCTTCCAACTATGTAACAAAAGCCTCAGTGATGAGGAAATACTAATCAGCTCAATAACATATTTAGTATTGCCCAGAACTCAGAATAGAAAGTGATACTAATAAATACATCAGCCCACTTACAAAAATAGAATCTTATTTTGTCGGAATATTGTACATAACTTATTAAAGTAATCAAGAGTTGAACACAACGCTAACAAAATTTCAAAACCAGAACTCCTATATAAAAACAGAAATACAAATTCCTCTCCCAATCACCACCTCATTTCCAAATCATCATTATGAACTGTAATCTTGTTGGGGTTCATATATAATACAGTAAAGAGAATAAATACATGGAAAAATCAATAACATATTTGAAATAAAACAGTATTATTCAATTATTAGTTCTGATAAACTAGCTAAGTACTTTGAGAGGGAAAAAAGTTATTAGCACTTGTATAACCAAATTAAATCCCAAATATTTTGAGTTAGATACAAAGCACAAAACAAGAATATTTTTATTTTTAAATTTATTTTTCAATTACAGTTGACATCCAATATTATTTTAGTGTCAGTTGTACAACAGGGATTACACATTTATGTACCTTAGAAAGTTATCCCCTAACTCTAGTACTCATCTGACATGGTACATAAGGTATTATAACATTAATAACTAATTCCCTATGCTATACTTTATATCCCTCTATTTTTATAACTGCCAATTTATACTTCTTAATCTCTTCACTTTTTTCTACCCATCCCCAAACCCCAAGTCTCAGTCTGGCAACCATCAATTTGTTCTCTGTATCTATGAGTTTGTTTCTGTTTTCTTTGTTCATTTATTTTGTTTACTAGTCACCACATATAAGTAAAATCATATGGTATTTGTCTTTCTTGGACTTATTTCACCTAGAATAATACCCTCTAGGTCCATCCATGTTGTTGCAAATGGCAAGTCCTCATTCTTTTTTATGGTTGAGTAATAATCCTAGTATATATGTACCATATCTTCTTTATCTGTTCTTCTATCAATGGACACTGAGGTTTTTTCCACATCTTGACTATTGTAAATAATGCTGCAATGAACACAGGGGTGCATATATCTGAGGAAAATATTTATCAGCCCAATATATGGAAGATTTTTCTCAGTATTAAAAGTGGAAAAAAATTAAAAGGTCAGATTTATACAGATTTGATTGCATAGAATATTTTAAGTTTTTCATGTTGGAAAAAACCTACCAAAAAGACAGGTAAATGACAAACCAGAATAAACATTTAACATCATTCGTATGTAAAGAATTCAAATGAGGCCCTGGCTGGTGTAGCTCAGTGGATTGAGCATGGGCCTATGAACCAGAGTATTGCGGTTAGATTCCCAGTCAGGGCACATGCCTGGGTTGCAGGCCAGTTCCCAGCAGGAGATGCACAAGGGGCAACCACACATTGATATTTCTCTCCCTTTCTCCTTCCCTCCCGCTCTAGTGATAAATAAATTTTAAAGAAGAATTTAAATGAATTAATCTTTACAATAGCAAGTCGAAAATAATCTAAAAAGGCCCAATGGGTGAATATCTGTAGCCCAAGTAAAATACTATGGAGAATTTTAAAAGCAATAAGTACATGAAGAAAATTTGATATGTAAATTTGTTTCTTTACAAATACAGTTAAAAAGAATAAAAATAGAGTGTATAATTTCTGAATTGCTAGTATTCTCCATAAGCGTGTAAAATTTTTATTTAAAAAATACAACTATGATAGGTTTATTGTCGTTTTTATTTTTAACAACTGTGATAATAACTGAACCTGGCCACACTGGCCACTGAACACAGAACAGACATGCATCAACTTTCACACATGTGATTTTCCAGCATAACCTACCTAACTTCCTTTTATAAAGCAGCTAATGAATGGCAATAAAACTTCTGGACAAAACCTCAAGTCTTAGATGTGTTGCCTCCATTGTACAGCAGTTTGTTCATATAAATACTATAATACTTTTCTGAATTTTATCCTTATTTTATAAAAATAAATGAAAAAATAAAAGAGCATTCATACTGAACTAAACAGCATATGTCTCATAAACCCATTATAATTATCAGAAAAATGGACCTCAACAAGAGTATCAAAAGTGGTGAATGTTAAGCTGTATTCAGGTACTTGTTGAGCCCATATTTTTATAAATTATAAATCATATATTTTTAGTCAGTAAGTTTAGCATTTAGCTGTACTTTCATGCACATTTTCAAGAATATTTTATGTATGAAAAATTTAGGTTTCCTCTAAAAAGTATATAGTGAATAATTTAATCTTAGAGAAATGCTGCCTAACAAAGAAACAATTCAATTTTGAGTTCAAAGATGTAATTTGTATTTTCTCAAGCCATTATGATCTTTTCATGATTATTTTATATGTGATACTTATTTACATGTACATGAGGGCTAAATATTTACAGGAGACAAGAAATCAGGTTTAATACAGACTCCACAGAACCAAAATATACCAAATTCTCCTAAAAGTACTTTTTGTTGACATTTATTTGTCAACATTTGTTGACAAATGTCTACTTTTATATCACAGCAGAAAGCACTAAATCCTAAAAGCATGATCTCTTCTTGAACATTAGAGATTTTGCTGAACTTTGAGGCTTATATTTACAAACATGAACAATGATTAAACAATACTTCCAATGCAATTTTGTCATCTAGCACAGGCATAGAGCTGGCTTTTAATCAATATTTGTTATTTGCATCACCAAACAAATGATACACACACTATGTGTTTTTGTATACAGTACGAGTGAGAGAGGAATGTATGTGTAGAGGGAATCCAGTTAAGAGAAGGCTACAAGTAGACTGGTTCTAGCTAACTGATGTTTTAGTCCAATTTTAGAAGCTATTCCCAATAGAAATTTGTACCACATTAATCTTTAAAATATCCTTGTGCCATTTTTGTAGTATATGGATAATAATTAGAAAACCGGTATGTTCCATAAAAACAATGTATGTGTTTATAGCAGGAACCTCGTTACCCACCAGTATCTATGCCCCACCTTCTATAAAAACAGAATGCCCTGATTTTTTAATGGTTATCCAGCTAGAGACTACATTTCTAGCCTGTTTCATACTGTGTGGCCATTAAGTTCTGGATATTAGGTATCACTACAAAATCCCAAGAAAAAAGGTTCTCCTATTCCTTCTTCTTCTTGCTGGCTGGGAGCAACAACTGGAGCAAACGCCTTATGCACAGAGACCAAAGCCACATACTGAGGATGCAGAGGTACCCTGACGGCCTTGGGTGCTCTCCGTCTGGTTTGTGTTATAAAAGAAAAGAAAACTATTTTGCTTCACACCATTTTGTTATAGCATCATAGTCTATTCCTTATTATTACATTCTTCAGATAAGATATATAGTATGCTTCAGTTAGGAACAGTTGAAAAAATCAATAAACATAATAATGATGAACCCATTTAAACCTACGTATTTACTTGATATATAACATAAAGCCTGCAGAATTTTCAACAATTCTTAAATATAAACAATAATATAGACTTATGAGCTATACAGAAATAAGAACAAAAATAAAAGACGTTATGAAAACTCCTGTGTCATACTTAATTATGTCAAAATTTTACAATATTTTATTCATAAAGTGATATTTAATACTCTTGTGCTGTTTTTTTTTTAAATGTGATACTCAGTCAGGTGTAACCACAATAGGGGACAAAAAAGAGGCTCAGAAAAACAATGTGTATTATGCTCATAAGTCCTCCAGGACAGATCACGGGAAGCATAATGTTTTGGTCAGGATGTAGAAGGCAGAAGCAAGGAAAGAGCTTAGGCCAAGGCCTTCGGTTTCCATGGGAAAGGCAAGGCAGTGCAGGATAAAGAATTTAGAACTGACTAGTTTGATTAATTCTGGTAGCAAATAATTCTGGTGGCCTCTGGACTAAATAGGCGGTTCTCTAGATGCCTTGTACCTAGCCATGAAACGATTAAGAAAGAAGACTGCCTCCCAGAGTGTAAAACCCAGATAGAGGAGATACAGCTCTGGACGGTTTAGTTTGCATATCCAAGACATGACCCCAACTGAGAACTGGCTAGCCCCAGGAAGAGCAATCTCTCCCCAGCCAGAAAGGTTTGGCAAGATGTCAAAACATCTTAAAGCATACACAAAATGTATAAAACATATAGAGAATACATAAAACATGCAGAAAAAAATATATATATATACAGTATAATTCTGCATTTTAGCTAGCTATATTTGGTCTCATTCAATGCCTGTTAAAAACATTTATAGGGGTTTCAGTGACTGTCTAAGCTAGAAAATACATCTACTAACATGCAGAATGCAAGCATTACTACCAATACATATAAAAATATAATAAAACCAAAATATATTAATTCATCATTTTCCAATAAAAAATAGATAAACTGATGGTAAAGAATTTGCCTAAAATTAATTTCAGACTATTGTTTAAGATGTTTATGTTTTAAAAATCTCAACACTAATTTTTCATACCTAACTTTATTTTTTAAATAATTACCCATAAAAATAGTTTGATCAGTGAGTAAATACTGTCTCTTCTTGGTGCATTTGGGATTGTGTGGAGGTGCAACTCCTATTTAGCGTCCAAGAAGTTTGGACCACAGGCAGTGGAACAGTCCTCTAAAAAATAAAAAATACAAAAAATAAAAACACCTGTCCAACCCAAACTGCCAATAGCAACTTTGTTGAAAACCACTTACATACAATATGTATAGCTTATATTTTCTTACCCAAAAAGTAATCACAAAAGTTTTAGTGCCAGAAATCAAATGTCTGAGATGTGTCATAAATGTGGTTTTAAAAAGGCACTTTAAGAATCTAAACCAGCTTTTGATAAGCATGTTTATCCAGGTATGAAAAGAATAATGCTTATAATAACTTTTTCTGCCTTAAAAAAAGAAGTAAAATGTCCCATTAGTAATGTTCAAGTGTCAAAAGTATATTATAAATATACATAAAACACAGATACATATATATAACATTTAAATAAACATATATAAATATATAATAAACATCCAAAGATAAAATAAGTAGATACAGATAGATAGGTAGGTAATAGATGGATAAATGGATGGATGGACTAACAAATCATCTTATTACTATTACTCTCCTCCTTATTCATAGACTACTGCTTTTCAGTATATAGCATATTAGCTTATATAGCATATATTCAGTATATAGCATACATAGCATATATTCATAGATTCCTGCTTTTCAGTATATAGCATATATAGCTTCAGTATATGGGACATAAGAGTTTTTTATGTTGCATTGGTTAAAATGGTTCAGGAGATTTCTTTGTGTATATATACACATACACACACATACATACACACTGCAGATATGTAGATGCACGTAGTTATTTTGAAATGAATCCTATGAAACCAATTTTAAATAAAAGTGACCAAAGTATTATATAGTATTATATTCATATATACAATAGACAGATATAATGCAAACATATATAATTTAATACATAACTGTAGAATTAATTTATATAAATTTAAGAATATGTACATATAACATGCCATAATTTTAATTTTTAAAAAGAATTATCTTGATACCATATTTTAAAAGAACAGAATCATCATTTACCTAAAATATGCAGGTATAGTGCTAATCCTTTTATATTGTCACCTAATTTAATCTTTGCAATAATGTACATAATGGAAATAATACCATTTTAAAATTGAGGAATTTGAGGCCCTGTATAGTTAAGTGACTTATGTGTTCCATAATGCTAGGAGCAATAATTATATTTTTCAGTGTATTATCAGGGCCTAATCATGCCTGACACATAATAAACATGCAATAAATTCTGAATGGATGGATGATGGTGCTCAAAGTTAGACAAGTAAATAAACTGGTTTTTCTAAGTCCCAAATCAGAAACAGCTTAAGAAATTAAAAATACCTAATTCAATATCCTTCAAAAAATATCAGTCGCCCTTTAAAACATTTGAGTCCCTACTAAAATGCAAAAGAGTATTCCAGTCACATCATATTACAGCAATATACAACATATGTCATTACCTTTTACTTGCTTGCCTCACTTAAAGATTTAATGTATGGTACATTAACTACACAAAACACTAATAAAATGAGAGAATAATGACAAATTAGGGTATTTTTACAAAATGAAAGGAAAAGTAGTTGAGTACATAAACACACCGTTGAACTTATCTCTAACAAGTAGAGTTGGATCTAAGAAAATGTGACGGCAAGTCTTTTCTTTTTATTTCCTAAACTTCCTCTATTGGTGGTCCATTAACCAGAGCCCTCAAGGTACCTCAATACTGACTCCCATATAACCATGCTGCCCTCCTTGTTTCTGCTCAGTAAACATGACATCTCTAATAAAAGTTAAAAATCTAGATTTTGGTTCTGCGCCTATCATTAAATTGCTGTTTGACGTTTGGCAGGTAACCTTGCCTGAGTTTCAATTTCCTTAAATGTAGAGTTTGGAAGTTTAATTGTATCAATGTTTCTCAAACATGCCTGATTATAAAAATAAACTGAATCAACCTTTGTATCTCCCACTCTGAGCCCTGTCCTGGATACACTCTGGGGGGTGGAATAAGTTACAACAACATAAATTTTACTGATTTTTATGGAGTTTCAGTATAATACCTCAACTTTAAGCCATACATATTCTCCAAAAGTGATCAGTTACTAAATTTCAGATCTGAAAAAGTAGCCTAAACACAATTATCATTCCTAAGTAATACAGTGCAAAGGCTTCCCTGGCACCTATTTCAGCCTTCTATGACTTTTCAATTTACTTTCTTTTTCTCACATTCTGCATGGTTAATCTCAAGCAAATCGATATTCCCATATAAAGAATTCTTCACAAATGAACATTCAAGTACATTAAAAATTTCCCAACTTCTATATTCTTTAAAATTACAACAAACTAAACAATAACTAAATCATTTTCAACAGAAAGTATCCATTTTAAAAAATGCTTCCAACATTTTTTTATAAAAGAATAAACAAAAAAAGAATCTTACCTAATCGTAGTTCTCCAAAATTGCCACATCCAATTTTTTTTCCAACTCTGAAATTAGGTCCAACCATTAAAACTCCAGAGGATGAAGACCCAGTTCCTCGAGTGTTGTGTCCCGATCGACCACTAGGTCGAGCCATTCTATCATCTGATTTGTCCTTGTCTTTCTTTTTATTATCCATATCAAGTTTCTGGTACTCCACTTTGAATTCTTTAATCAAGACAAGTACACTGAAATAGGGTATTGTGAGAATAGGTACATCACTAGGTCACTGTACCAGGTGGGTAATGTTAACATTCAAATTAACAGTAGGTAGTCAATTAACTGGTGCGTGTTCATCCCATTCGTAAAATTTTTCTCAGTTGTCTTTTCAGCAAAACATGTCTTCAAAATTTTATTTTCAATGATGTGCACTGATGATGATAGGGAGCTAAAACAAAAAAGAAAATTAGTCACCTTAAAGCATTCAAAAAATGTATGTTTTGGAAGTTAATAACAAAGTTCAGGGAATGGATTACTGCTATTTATTTACTGATGCCTACTAAAACCAAGCTACAGTAGTCTCTTAAATTAATGATTATTCTTTGTTGCTATACTTTAATATGCAGATACCACAAAAAAGGAAGAAATCAAGGATTCAGCTGTATGTCTTAAAAATAAAAAGGTAACAAATGTACTCAGCATTTTATAAGCCAATATACATTCACTAAACTAAACCTTTCAATTTAAAATCATTTCAATACTAAAAACAATCCAGTAAGTCAATACAAAAATTTCAATTAAAAAGCAGAAAAAGAGAATATTTTGAAAATTAGTAAAATCTCAATAAAAATATCTCCATATGTTCATTGTTCATACACTTAATTTTCAAAGTCATTTTCAAATATATATTCCCATTTGATCTTCACTTATTCAAGTATTTATTACCCACCAGCTATACATTGGAATGGTGCTCAGAATTCATAATACAAAGATCATTCTTGCTACCTATCAAAAAAATTAATTATTAATGTAACATTTAAACTGGGTTTAAAAAATAAATGTACTTTTTCAATCAGACAAGAAGAAATAAAAGGCATCCAAACTGGAAAGGAAGAAATAAAACTGTCATTATTTGCAGATGACATAATACTGTATATATAAAACCCTAAAAATTCCACCAAAAAAACACTACCAGAACTGAAATATGAATTCAGTAAAGTAGCAGGATAAAAAATAAATGTTTAGAAATGAACTGCATTTTTATACACCAATAATGAACTATCAAAAAGGAAACTAAGAAAAACAATCTCATCCACAATTGCTTCAAAAAGAGTAAAGTACCTTGTAATAAATTAGCCAAGGATGTAAAAGCCATACTCAGAAAATTATAAGACACTGAAGAAAAGAATTGAAGAAGATACATATAAGTGGAAGCATATACCATGTTCATGGATAGGAAGTATTAACACTATTACAATGTCCATACTAACTAAAGCTATCTACACATTCAATGCAATTCCTACCATAGAACTAGAACAAATACTCCAAAAATTTATATGCAACCACAAAAGACCCCAAATATCCACAACAATTTTGAGAAAGAACAAAATAGAAAGAATCATACTACCTGATATCAAACTATACTACAAGACCATGGTAATCAAAACAGCATGGTACTGACACGAAAGCAGACATATAGATCAATGGAACAGAATAAAGAACTGAGAAATAAACCCATGCCTTTACGCTAAGTTAGTATTTGACAAAGGAGGCAAAAACATACAATGAAGTAAAGATATCCTATTTAATAAATGGTGTTGGGAATATTAAACAAATATATGTGCAAAAGACATAAAAACAGACCACCTTCCTTCACCATACACAAGAAAAAACTCAGAATGGATTAAAGACTTCAATGTTAGTCTCAAAACCACAAAAACCCTAAACAACATGGGGAGTAAAATGTCAGACATTTCTTATGGCAATATTTTTTCTGATATATCTCCTTGGACAAGGAGACCAAAAATAAACAAATGGGACTACATCAAACAAATTGGACTACATCAAACTAAAAAGTTTTTGCACAGCAAAGTAAACCATCTACAAAATACAAAGACAACCCACTGAATGAGAGAACATATTCACTAGTACATCTGATAAGGGAATACCCCAAATTTTTAAAACCTTGTAAAACTCAACACCAAAAAAAAAAAAAAAGCCAAACAATCCAGAAAAGGCAGAAAAGTGTACTTGAACAATTTTTAAAATGTTAAAAATAAATTAAGTAAATAAGTAAATAAATAAAAACCAAACAATCCAATTAAAAAATGGGCAATGTACCTGAATAGACACTTCTCCAAAGAGGACATGCAGATGGCCCATAGCCATATGGGAAAATGCTTGATGCAACTAATCACCAAAAAATGCAAATGAAAACCACAATGAAATACCACTTCACGCCTGTCAGAATGACTATCATCAGTAAATCAACAAAGAAATGTTGGCAAGGATGCAGAGAAAAGGGAACCTTTGTGCACGGTGGGTGGGAATGTACACTGGTGCAACCACTGTTGAAAGCAATATGGAGTTACCTCAAAAAATTAAAAATGGAACTGCTGTATGACCCAGTGATTCCACTTCTGGGAATTTATCCAAAGAAATCAGAAGGAATATATACACCCAAATGTTCATTGTAGTGTTATTTACAATAGCTAAGATTTGGAAGCAGCCCAAGTGTCCCTTAGTAAGTGGATAAAACAGCTATGCTACATCTACACAACGGAATACTACTTGGCTGTTAAAAAGGGAAATTTTACCCTTTGCAACAGCATGGATAGACCTGGAAAGCATTTCCCAGCATGGACAGACCTGGGAAATTTTACCCTTTGCAACAGCATCGATAGACCTGAAGAAAACCAGTCAGAGAAAGACAAGTACCATTATGATTTCACTCATAAGTGGAATCTAATGAACAAAATGAACTAACATGCAAAATAAATACATACTCATGGAGAGCAAGTTGACATCTGTGGGTCAGAGGAGAGATTTGGTAAAAAATAAATAAAGAGAAAGAACTCATGGGCACAGACTAACTGTGGTGATTGCCAGGAAGGAGATAAAGGAGGTCCTGAGGAGATAAATGATGATGGATAGAGATTTGACTTGGGGTAGTGAATACATAATACAGTGTGTATTTGGTGTGTTGTAGAATTATGTACCTAGAACCTGTATAATTTTGATAATCAGTGTCACTTCAATAAATTCAATTTTTAAAAAACTCACTGGATCTGTGAAGCTAATAAAATGAAAGAAAAATAGCAAAAACAATAATCTGGAGGAAGCAGATCATTCAAAAATCAGAAGAGAACAAAAAATAAAAACACTTAGATCTTCGGAGGCTTCTGAGAAAAACAATAATAGGATAAAAAAATAACACTACATTAAAAGGGATAGCCAAAAACAAAGTGGGGCAACAATTCTGATATGTAAAACAAAAATACAAAGGAAAAAATAAAGGATAAAAGAAAGAAGTCATTCAAAACCTCCAACTTCTAACTAATAATTGATATTAATAGGGAGGACAAAAAAATTTAGGAAAATAAAATTTCCAAAAAAATTTCCTGAGCTACAGAAAAATAAAAAAGCCCAGAGTGCTGATCAAAGAAAAGTAGCTTGAGAATACTACTTGGGTCTACTACAAGTCCTAACAGTGTAAAGATGGTTAATTGATTTTTAGCTTTTAGAATCCATCTTATCCAATAAAAATGCAAGATAAATATTACAGGAGAGAATAACCTTGACAGTGTTAAAATAACACTTCCAGTGACAGACACACAGGTGATAAAAGGGAGAAGAGGTAGAAGAATAGGGATAAGACCATCTGTACTTACAAAGTATAAAATAGAGAGATAATGTATAGTTTGCTAAAATAAATGTAAGAACATTATAAAGTGTCAAAGGTAAGCAACAGATGAAGTAAATATAGTAATTAGCCAACATTTAAAAACAGAATTGAAACAGGAGTATGTGATTTAAAAATCTCATTTCTCTTACCCTGGCCAGGTGGCTCAGTTGGTTGGAACATTGTCCCATGTACCAAAGGTTACAGGTTTGATTTCCAGTCAGGGTGCATACAGGAGGCAATTGATCTCTCTCTCTCTCTCTCTCTCTCTCTCTCTCTCTCTCTCTCTCTCTCTCTCAAATTAATAAAAATCATATCCTCAGATGAGGATTTAAAAAAAAATCTTACTACTCTTAAGTATAGAATGAAAACTTAATGCACCCACAAGGACTATTTTACTTCTTCCCGTCAGTTTGGTTTTATTTTTCTTGCCTAACTGAACTGGCTAGAACTCTCAGTATTATGGTGAGGACTATGATGGAAGCAGAAAGAGTGGGCATCCTTGTCTTCTTCCTGATTTTACAGGAAAAGCTTTCAACTTTTTGCCACTGAGTATGTTAGCTGTGAGCTTGTCATAGGTGACCATTATTTGAGGTTCATTCCTTCCATACTGAACATGTTGAGAGTTTTATCATGAAAAGACATTGAATTTTGTCAAATGTTTTTTCTGGACCTATTAAGATGATCATACAAATTTTATTCTTCATTAAGTTAATATGGTGTATCACATTGATTTTTTTTTTTTTTGCATGCTGAACCAGCCTTGCACAGTAAGGATAAATCCCACTTGATCACAGTATATGATAATTAAATATTCCTCTAAATTCAGTTTGCTAATATTTTGTTTAGGATTTTTACATCTATATTCATCTGGAATAATGGACTGCAATATTCTTTTCCTGCAGTGCCCTTATATGGCTTTAGTATTAGGGTAATGCTGGCCTCATGAAATGAGTTTAGGAGTGTTCCCTCTTCTTCAATTTTTTTCAAATAATTCAAGAAGCATTGGTGTTAATTCTTTAAATGTTTGGTAAAAATTCACCAGTAAAGCCATTTGGTCCCAGGCTTTTATATGTTCAGAGACTTTTTATTACTAATTTAATGTCCTTAGTAATTATAGGTCTATTCAGAGTTTCTATTTCTTCCTGATTCGGTCTGCACACACTGTATGTTTCTAGGACTTTACCTTTCTCCTCCAGATTACTTGATTTGTTGGCATATAATTACTCATAGTAGTCTCTTATAATCCTTTGTATTTCTGTGGTATAAGTTATAATATCTCCTCTTTTACTTCTGATTTGCTCAAATAAATGCTTTTTATTCTTTACTACAGGATAAACCTTTTTTGGTTAACATTACTAACAATGAATTCTATGAAAGAGAAATTATAAAAGTAATCCCATTTGCAATAGCATCAAAATGAATAAAATACTTAGAGGAGTAAATTTAATCAAGGAGATAAAAAAAACCTGTACACTGAAAACTGTAGACAATAATGAAAGAAAGTAAAAAAGATACAAATGCACTGCAAGATATCCCATGTTCTT